TCTCTCTCTCTCTCTCTCTCTCTCTCTCTCTCTCTCTCTCTCTCTCTCTCTCTCTCTCTCTCTCTCTCTCTCTCTCTCTCTCTCTCTCTCTCTCTCTCTTTTCCTTGATTTTAATGCATAGGGCCCTCCTGACTACTGGGGTCTTACTACTACTCACTCCTCAGAGGCCAATTTTCTAATTTTTTTGTCACAGGGTGTAACAGCTCGACCGGGAGCTCGATTTGGACCTTTAGGAATCCGCCAAGGGTCAAGAAGAATTGCTCCCGACTTCTCATGGTCGGTGTACACGGGACAGAATCCTTTCAAGCAAGGGTTGAAGATTGTGGATTGTGGGGATGCTCCGCTTACGGTTTTGGATAATACGATTGCTTTGAGACAGTTGGAGAGGGCGCATAAGGTATGTAATGTACCGTACCGTACCTTATGGTTCGATTTCTGGGTGGAGAGAGGAGTTTGGAATTGGAATTGCTAATGGTTACAAAAGGTCGTGTCTGCTCGAAGGACGAATTCGACAGAGTTTACTGTCCCGCGGATTATTACTCTCGGCGGTAAGGAAGCAGAATCGAGATATGTCATAAGCGTCGTAATGGGAGGAATATTTGCTGATAGATGGCGACGATTAGGAGATCATACGACCACTCTTCCTGCCCTTCGATCGACATTTACGCATTTCGGAGCGGTTTCCGTGATCCATTTTGACTCACAGTAGGTGGTGGACAAGCATGACCGTACTCGAGAATACAGTCTGACCTATCCATACTATGCACAGCCTTGATACCTGGGATCCAGATGTGCTAGGTGGAGGTCTATCGCACTATGCCGGCGTCAACCACGGAACATTCTTGCACATGTAAGTTAGTACACCTGCGTCTAGCACCCAAAAACAACACAAAAAATCACATAATTGTTGCAAACTGACAGCTTTTTTCATCACAGTGCACACGAAGAAGGCTTGATCCGCAACTCATCCATCCACGCCGGTATCCGAGCCCCCGTATCCAACCCCAAGTACGATTTGAAAAACGACCGAGCCTGCGGTTTCCACATCCTCACCGCCCGCGATCTCGACAAACTCGGCACTACCAATTTCATCCAACACTTGAAAGACCGCGTGCAGGGCTCGCCAGTGTACATCACCGTGGACATTGACTCGCTCGATCCCGCGTATGCTCCTGCGACGGGGACTGCAGAGCCCGGCGGGTGGAGTACGAGGGAATTGTTGACCATTCTGGATGGTCTCTCGGGGCTGGATGTTATTGGTGCTGATGTGGTGGAAGTTGCTCCCATTTATGATAATCCTGGTGAAGTGACTACTCTCGCTGCTGCCGAGGTGGTGCGCTCGCTGATTGAGCTCATGGTGGTGAAGCCAGTGAAGGCAATTGGTAGTGAAGAATGAAATTGTGTCGAGATGTGGGATGTAATTGACTACAAGTATGGACAATTAGAGTCACGTGACCCAAGCCTTGAAGAGTTCCTGCCTGAGGCTCAAATTCGCAATCGCAACGTCTTTCCCCCACTTTTCATCATTTAGTCTCGGCTGTTCTGTCTACATCATCCACGTTCCAAGTTACAACTGGAACCAGCCGCATTATCAGTACGAGCAAGAAAGCATCATCCCCCCATCCACCTCCAAGACACAAACAAAACCAGAACCAAAAGCAAAAACAATGTCTTTCGAACCCAAGCAGAAAGTCGACCTGGACCCGCCCAAAGACGACATCATCACCTTGGAATACCTGTCCAAATGCGATGGTGAGTTCTAGTGTAGAGAGGAGGGAGAGAGAGAGAGAGAGAGAGAGAGAAATAGAGAGAGAGGGAACAAACTTTCCCGTTTTGCGTGTGTGTGTGTTTCATTCACTTACCAAATTTCGGCATATATAGGTAAACACGAGGGTTATCCTACCTATGTCGCGATCAAGGTCAGTAGAAATTTTTATTGTGACCTACTGTTTTTCGTCTGGAAAAGGAGGGGGGGAGGCATTGATATTGGATTTGCTAAAACAAAATGGAATGGGATGATTAGGGAACCGTCTTTGATGTCACGGGAAATAAAGCCTATGGACCTGATGGAAGTTATAAAGGTTTGTTTTTTCTTTTTCTTTTCTCCCCTCTTTTTCTTTCCCCCCCCCCCCCCC